TATTTAGATTATATAACAACTAATCGTTCCATCATCTCCCAAGATCAATTCTAACATTTAACTATTGACTAAACTACAGCCAAAGCAATAAAAAAAGAATAAGTTCTTCAACCGAAAAGCTTCGAGTGTTACGTCTTTTCTGAACTCATCTGTCATCTTCTTGATCAATCCTTCTCCTTGGCCTTTTCACTGCCACTTTCTAAATAGTTTCCTGGGTTGCGCACATTTAAAATTTATAAATGAATTAGTCTAGGGCCTAGTGAGTTCGTGTTGCACATACATGTCCATCACTTAAAAAAATAGTGTGGTCATGTATTTCCAATAAATCATACAGCAAAACATATCACCCGATGTCACAATTTAGGTGAATGATTAATTATCCAGAGAAAGAACCAAAGGCTCGTTTCTCATTTCCTTAGCACAACGCATCCATTGTGCTCAAGAATTGTAAATATCAAAGGAAATGAGTATAACTCTCAATTCTCATCCCTGCCAATGACATACATCCGTCATGCTCACGACGATTAAACACTCACCCATTCTCAATAAATATGTCATCCCAAAAAGTCACACACTAGATAAACAAATCCAAAATAACATTTTCACACAATTATTATATTTATAATAAAACATATACCGTTAACAAATAATTAAAAACCGCATATAAAACGCATGAAAAACATTTATGTGCAAACAGTGACCGCACACAAAAAAAACTCACCCCGCAATCGATAAGCCTTAACCGAAGCTTTGTTCCTAACCGCACCCTATATTTCACCAATAAATTTTCTAAGGCGACAATCCTAGAAAAGCATCCTATGTATCCGTTTCACTTCAATCACACAATGGACTTGTTCCGGTGACAATTTTATTAAAAGCAAAACGTTTTCAAATTTGGAAGGTTTCACCCATAAAATAGTACTCAAAAGTGGAGATAATCAAAATGTTTAAAATGTAAGAATTGTAGTTTTAAAATAATAATAATAATAATAATAAGCGGGTAAATAAAACTACAGGGACCATTTTGTAACTCTTGTTTTTTATTTTGAAAAGAAAATAACATGTCATATTTAAAGTGAATAAAAACTGTAACCTTTCACACACTACAGGGGCCATTTTAAGTATAATGAGTGTTCGTATATAGTTTCATCTCAAAATCACAATGTCATATTTGTTTTTAAAAGTTGACAATGAGAATCAATCGTAAGGCTTTGCGGTATGGAGAAGATTTCCACGCGTAGGAGCTGAGTTGGCAAGCCAACCTACGCGTGAACACCGTCCCAAACGCGCGTAGGTGACTTGTGGCGTAGCCCCATCCACGGACGAAGACACTGCATTTGATTGGTTCCCTCACATTTTCTCTCTCTCTCTCTCTCTCTCTCTCTCTCTCTCTCTCTCTCTCTCTCTCTCTCTCTCTTCTTTTTGCATTTTCACTACCTAACCACCGATGAATACCACCCCAACCCCGGTGGTTTGGGTGTGAAATGGTGAAATATCTACGTGACATCACCTTAATTCACTAACCACGCGTGACCATTGTCGATAGCCTAAGGCTATCTGCAATGATCACGCGTGGTTTGGGAATAAAGGTGATGTCACGTAGATATTGATGGAGTTCTACACCCAAACCACCGGAGTAGGGGGCGGTGTTCACCGGTGGTTAGGCAGTGAAGGTACAAAAAGAAGAGAGAGATAAAGAGAGGAAATGCGAACGGACCAATCAAATGTCACGTCTTCATCCGTCTCCATGGCCACGCCACACCCAAACCACCGAGGCTGAGGGCGGTGTTCACGCGTCCTTAGCCCCTCCAACTCAACCATTCACGCGTGGATAGCTACCCACTCTGGATAGCCTAACCACTACCCAATAAACAAATCAATATTTAATATTATATTTGCATTCCTATGTTTTAAACACATATTTACTTTTAACCCAAATTACCCGGAAAACTATATTTTTAACCTGGAATTACTTTTTTTTTTGTCATTTTTAAGTGCACGAGAGCTTCGATTTTTACTGGAAAAACTACCAAATAAAAATCTAAAAGAATCATTGACTATATCCATTGCTTACTATTATGCTTTCTTAACCAATTAAGAAAAACAAATCCTCAAACCAAGTTAATTTTAGAAAATAAAACCAAAAATTTATACACCCAAATTCCATCAAAATACCAACTGCTTTTTCGAAGAGACACATTTAGTGGAACTAAAACACGTAGGGTGGATATATAACCCTAATCAAACGAGCTAATTTTTATAGAAACCCGAAAAACTTCACAACTTTCCTCGATTTCTCACTCGATTATTCATCTTTTTACAAATAATTACTATAATTTTCTCTTAATTGCCTAAATAATTATCCTAATAATTATTTACCTCTATATTTTATTTTTATTATGTTATCACAATATATATTTTTAACGTTCAACCTGTTATGTATTCTTATCTAAAGTTCATCCTTTGAAGTTGTAATCCTTATACATTTCTTTCTTATATGCATCTCTCTATGCAAAGAGTAGACTTCAACTAGGTTTTCACTTGTCACACTCTAATTTAAATATGAATAAGTATATCTACTCTAATAAATGAAAGTTTTTTCTCATTTGTCTCATTTTAATTCAATTTGCCAAATGTCATTTTATTAAATTCCACATAATATTTTAATGTAATTATTTCAATAAATGTAATAATAAATGGATCAGATATCAATTTCAATAATCAACTTACCTTTTAATTTCAAAATTCCCAAAATTAAAGCTCATTAGGTTATTTTTATTTATTTATTTATATTACTTATTTAAATTTAAAAGATAAAAAAATAATTTCTTTATAATAATTCATTATTTTTCTTATTTTCATATAAATTCAAAGTTTTCAAATATTTTGATCTTTATATTTAATTTTTTTTATAAAATTAACTCATATAATACATGGATCTCACAACTAATGTATGAATGCTTGAATCTACTTATTGCTTTACAAAAATAATTATTTGTAATTTAAACTTAAAAATTGTAATGATCATCATACTTTTCTTAAATCTCATTGCATACCAAATGAGGTCTCTCACACACACACACACACACACACACACACACATA